TGGTACTTGTTGGTCCCTGTCTGGCACTCAGCATTAATGGGTACAACACGGACAGGTCGGCTCGGAGTCAGTATAATGTGTCTGAGTGGGGTATTCATGCTTTACTGCGGCATGGTATCTCAGTGGGCTAGCACGATAAACCAGCTTAAGTCTGGGCTAGTGCAAGAAGCCGCACATACACATGCATGCACGTCGTCATATGAGCGAAATATTCTCAAGCACGACGTAAAACCCAATTTCACCTCACCTCATTGATTTTTATCATTTATTGAACTCATGACAATCTCTTCAACCTTACGAATTTGCTTTACAATACATCAGTTCATGTGTAAACAGTACCCTCAAACAGTACGGAATATTTTGTAAAATGTAGTTTAGAACAGTTGCCTGGTGTAAGTAGCTATAGTTACACTAGTGTGTCTAAACTTTGGAATGGAAGTATGTATAAACAATTTAGCACTCACAATTAGGACTGTTTAGAAAGCGTGTCAGTACAAATCTTTTCTTAAACCCATGGATTCCAAATGTAACTAATTTATTCCACAGGCCTACAATCCGTTTTCTGTTTTAAAATGATCAATTCTAACATACCAGTTCTAGTATTGTAAAGGATTTACAGTCAATGAAATATAAATATGAATATTTTATTGGCTCTGAAACCCATGAAAATACACGTATGAATATTAAATCGGCTCTGCAGCCCATTAAAATACATTTATGAGTATGAATGCAGCCCATTAAAACCCTAACCTTTCAAGAATACACATATGAATATTATAACGGCTCTCCAGCCCATTTAAACCCTAACCCTAACTCATTAAAAATACAATATGAATATTATACAGGTTCTGCAGCCCAATGAAACCCTAACTCATTAAAAATACACAATGTGAATATTATATCAACTCCGCACCGCATAGAAATACACATGAAAATGATAACGGCTCTGCAGCCCATTAAAATCCTAATCCAATGAATATTATATCTACGAAAACACACATGTGAATATTATATTTCCTCTGCAGCCCTTGAAAACACACATGTGAATATTGTATCGGCTCAGCCGCCCTTGAAAACACACATATGACTAATATATGGACTCTGCAGACAATTAAACCCTAGCCCTAACCCAATTAAAAATACACATATGAATATTACATCGGCTCTGCAGCCCATTAAATTACATATATGAATATTATATCGACTCCGCAGTCGGTTAAAACCCTAACCCTAACCCAATATAAATACACATATGAATATTATAACTGACTGGGAGATGCCCTGATGGAGCAGCCGCAGAAGATGAGAAAGACGATGAGGTTGACGTTGTCGAAAGTCGTTGAAGGTGTCACATCCGCTGTTAGCACCAAGGTCAACGTGAGTCACGAGTACAGCAATCACGTCAAAGTACGGTCGACCTGGAACACGATGTGAGAATAGTTAATTGTTATTCAAATACATGTACTTTGCTTGTGATTCCTTGACGAGGCATCGAATTGACTTCAATATGTCTTGGCGTTGGTGAGCATGCGTGTTGTGTAAAGTGTGAACGTTTTGCTTTTCACCTTCAGAAACGAAATGCATTACATTAATATTATTCAGGCCACGATGTGTGAGTAGTGAGTGAGTATGGTTTTACACTGCCTTTATCAATATTCCAGCGACATCACGACAAATTGACTTCACATATTGTACCATGTGGGGAATCGAACATGAGCAGATCCGCACAAACTGTCTCCACACATCCGATTGGTGGAAAATACAATATACTGTAAGATTTTGTCTGTTTGCTAATGGGCGCGAAATATTAACTTTGCAATATTCCTTCTATTTTGGATAATGTACGGAACAGTACATTGGTAAGAGTAGTTTTAGAGGTTTGTAAAACTGCATTTAATACTGATTCATTTTTAGGAAATTATATTTATAAATAGTTAACCTCTAAAATTATTCTTACAAATTGAATGTCAAGGTCATCAATGTCCGACAAGTGAGTATGATTGCCGATGATTTTGGAGAAAATGCCTGCTTACTGTCGAGGAAATCATATATAGATGTTGCAGTAAGTTTTCAGACTCGTGGAATGCCAATGCCGATCGCATCTAGCCCTGCGTAGGTGCTGTCAACGTGGCTGGAATTAATAAACGAATTCAAAAGGTGAGTTTTCGCTGTCTAGGCCGATCCATGATTTTGGCTTGGAATTGCGGAGGTAGCTGTTTTCGGTGAGTCGTGGGTATAATTTTGAAATAATGATCCGATTGTGACCATTTATAGCTCATTTTGTAGATAAATCAAGTTGGGCATTACAAGCATTTTACGTGGTGAAATCTAACTTAGATTGAGGAGGAGGTGGTTTCGTCGTTACATCCCTTTCCTTTTATATATTAATAGGGTTGGGTCTATACACCTATATGTCTTCCTAAAGCTGTTTCTAAGCGAGACACGACTATGATAAAAGCTTGAAATTTTCAGTGATGAAAATTTCAAAGCATTGATGAAACATTCTATGTCAATCATCCTAAGGCCTCCATCCTCATCTCATGATGTTTGTTATTCCATAAGAATCTATAGATTATTTTATCGAGTTCATAAATGACTTTTAGGTGGGTTAGGAAGTGCAGGGAAGATATTACTAGAGTAGAAATTGCTACAGTTTTGACAACTAGCCAACTGGCGAGTAATATTACTACATGTTATTGTGTTTATTTTGAGTCCTGACATATCATAGAATTACATGGGTAAGGGTTCCTCCCGGTCCCCCATCCCAAATAATATTTATAAATATACTAAAATTATTAACAAAACTTAACACAACAATTACTAGAGAACTCACAAAATGACTAAAAGTCCAATATTTAAGTTAGGGTTATGTTTAGAGTTAGGTTTAGGGTTTGGGGAACGGAAGGAACTCTTCCATTAAATGCAGCATTGAAGCTTTTTGTCAGACGCGTCCAAATATAGTTGTGTGTCATCAGCATATTTTCCAAGTCAATGTTCTATATGAAAAAGTGTTATACCCTATATACTGACCTTATCATAGAGCCTAATATTTCAACTGCTAGGATAAATAAATAAGGGAAGACCTGATCTCCCTGTCTTCATCCTCGTTTCTGATGGAAAAAGGGAGAAATGTGCCCATTTGTATCACAGCAGCTGTATTACCAGAATTTGAATTCATTTGATAATGTTGAGCCCAAATCCAAACGCTTTCATTACCTGTATTATAAATGTTTTGGAGATTAATTAGTAATAATAGGCCAGGTGTATTTAACTTTCTGGTTTCAAAGACTATATCAGAGAAGTCTTATATTTTCACTCATACAGGTATTAAACCCGTTTGATTCAAATGTACACTTGTATCTAATGTTAATTAAATCCTGTTTGTTATACTGGTGCTTAGTATTTTGTTGAGGGAATTTTGTATTGAGTGAGTGAGTTGGGTTGGGTTTTACGCCAATTGTAGCAATATTCCAGCACTATCATGCTGGGGGCACCAGAAATGGCCGGCTTCACACATTGTACCCATGTGGGGAATCGAACCCGGGCCTTTGGTATGACGAACGAACGCGTTAACCACTGGTTTGAACCAAACACACCCCACCCCCTTCTCCCGAATTTAGAAACTCTACATATAGTATACGTACATAGTACAAAAATGAAAACAATAATATTCTCTTAACCTGAAGTATGATGGAACTATTGTTAATTTCGAATAATGTCAGCAAAGTATACAACGAATACCATTATTTGCAGCTGGTGCATTAACAGGACTAACTTGTGATCCCCTACACCCACCCATCTCTACATTGCTGTATACATAATCGTGAGCAAGCCTATGTTTATGTTTAAAAAGCTTGCCTACCTGATTCTCTGTTGTCTTCCCATGTAACGACTCCCTTCGATCACCCGGACAAGCAGTAGGGGGTCGGGGGGACGCCAACATCCAGATTGTACCAGCGTTCCGTCTGAAAAAAATGAGTCCTGGATAAGCATCATAAATCACACTTCTCAAATTCTTTGCAGTGAGAGTGTGGTTTAACGCCGCTTTTAGCAATATTCCACCAATACCATGGCAACGGACTTCCGAAATGGTTGTCCAACATCGTACCGATGTGGGGAATAGCACCCGGGCCCTCGACATGACTAGCAAACACAAACCACTAGGCTTACCTCACAATGACTGTGTTGAATATTCCATCACAAGGGATAAGTATTGTTGTGAAAGCCTAGTGCTAGGGAAAGGCGCTTACCTTGCTTCGTAAGCGTAGATGGATGGGGAAATCAAGTGTTCTGTCAGTTCTGCGATTTGCGTCTGTTCTCGTCCGTGTCTTGTCTCGATCTGTCCTGTCACCTGTCAGATTTGGCGGGTAAGTTGATCACGTGCCCCGATCACACCCGGAAACATGCGAGTATCACTGGATGGCCAATCCGATGAAACCCGATGTACGAGTGCGGAAGCACTGATCACTACATTCCTCCCTCTTTTCTGGACTTGCATCCCCACGTGGAATCCCATGAGTCGGTCTGGCTTAGGGAGCATCCAACAGGTGACCTCATCAGGACATGAGAAAATCCCTGCAGGGTTGGGCAACAGTGTTGTGCTATCAACCGAGACATTTCACGTAACTCGTGGATATTTTAGAGTACACATCTAAATAAGAAAATCCCCAACCAGGTTGTTTGGTGGCAACCGAGTCGGTTCGCATAACTTATTAGATGAATTAATTAGTCTATTAGTGCTAGAATCTAAACCGGATCGATGGACTCATTTTCAGTCCTGATCAAGTCAGATAAAAAATGGACTTTTTATGGGTGTTCTAGAATCTAGACCAGGTCGGTGGACTCAGTTCCAGATTAGGGAATCCCATGTCACAGGGTGTTCCTTTTATACCCTGTAGAGCTGCCTAGCATTGATGTAGGCGCGCTCTAGAATATTGGCCATAGTACTCTGTCGAGCCTCAGCCACCAGAGTTGCCACATCGCCGAGTAATCTTGGGCTGTTAATCCCTCGGTGACCTGGGCGAGGCCATAGGTAGGGGGGCATCTGTTTCTAGCACAAACCGTTTTGCATTCAGGAACCGCACGGCTGAGAGCTGGTGTTCGTCAAAGCTGGCAACCATTCCGATATACCCAAACCACGTCTCCGGGAAGTTCTTAGTCCAAAGGGCCATCTCTTTGCAGGATCCCGAAAAACAGTGCAGATGAAACTTCTGGTTCGGTTGAATTCCTGCTGCATGTGCGATCTTAATGCATTCCTCAAGTGGGGCCCTTTGATACCGGTCTTCGGCGGTTCCACGGAGATGAAGGATGATTGGTTTGTTGGTGTCAGCCACCTTGAAGAGTTTTTCCAAAACTTTGCCCTGCTGTTCCCAATTCCCTGCTGTGAAATCAAGGCCAACTTCTCCAAGGGCGATGACGTTCGGCGAGGACAGCAGACTCTGGAGTTTGTCTAGTTGATTAGAGCGATGGGAGCTCACATTTTCTGGATGTAGTCCAACGGCGATCTTCCAACATTGATGAAAGGTTGGATCTTGGGGCCAAGTTGGAGGATCACAAAAAACTTGAACTGCTCGGACTAAATCAAAGGAGGATTCATCTAGTGGTTGACCTGCTTGATCCAGGACCTCATCCAGGGGCGTGGCAGCGTCCAGGTGGAGCCTGCTGCGCATTCTGTCTGGATGGAAGTGGGTGTCAAAACCCCTGGGAAGTCCCTCCAGAGTTGGTGGCTTGTGCCGTTGTTGTACGGATTGTGAAGGTGGAGGTATCCGCATCTCCGATGGCTCTGATGATTGTGTGGCTTGCACAACCGGAGATGGACTGGCCAGTGGCAGGATGGTTCAAAGGTTTTGAAGTGGATCCTGACCATTTCCGATGTAATATTTAACAATGACGCCAATACCCTCCAGTGAATAGGCAAGCCGGACTCTCCAAGGACAGGTTGGTGGCGTCTAGGGGTAATGGCCAACCTTTAATCTGGCACAGCTGGGAAATGTGCCCGTAGCAGCTTCCTCGGAGAGGTATGTCCTTGGGAACAATTCCGTCCAGGTAGCTCCTGCTCCCAAGATTTGCCGAGCAAGGTCTTCTATGGCTGTTACCATGTGGGAAGTTGTTTCGCCGAGGCCTGTACCGAGTCCGAAGACAGTGTGGGAGATGAGCTCTGTGGACATGATGGCGCAATGTTCTTGATCGCATTCCACAAGACTTGATGGGGCAAATGGATCTTAAGCCATGAGGATGGTTGCTGTGAAATCGAGCGGCTCCCTTATTGGTTATCGACACATTCATCCCTCTGCTATCGGTCTTGATCAACCTGGCGGAAGAGGATGGTTCGGGCCGCTGTTGCTCCCGTCTCGGTGAGGAACGATGTTCCTGCCTTCTGAGGACCTGTTTCCTCGAGGAGAGGAACGTCTCTCTTGTCTCAACAACTTCCTATCTGGCGAATGATGTTTTTCCTGCCTTCTGGGGATTTGTCTCCTAGGTGAGGAACATCTCTCCCGTCTTGAGAGCTCTCTCGCTGGCGAATGTTGTTGCCTTTGCCAGGACGAGTTATAGCACACAGCCGTCTGTCGGAGGGGAGATCGTCGGCTTGAGGTCTTGGCCGGCCTCCTGGAAGGTCGATGTTCTTGAGGTCTATCCCAAAGGGTTACTGGGAGGTATACCACCGAGGCCACTCGTCTATGGTCAGGGCTCGGACAATGCCGTTTTCGGGGTGATGAAACCTTAGGCTGGTGACTCCACTTTAGTGAGGGAGAGTGTGCAGGTGTATGGGGCCTGTGGTTCAAGAATCTTTACTCACGCCCATGAGCCTGGTCCACTCCTGATGTTCGATGTCCAGGAGAAGAAGGGGTTGTTCCCCTGCTTGACAGGGACTCCGGGGATTCTGATGGTCCATCCCCACCCCAGTATGATGTGGACAGCTCTCGGCTCCTTGCACCTCGACGTTCTACAGATCGTGTACGTTGTTGGAATACCATGTTTCTGGAAAAATAGCAATGTTCTACTTTTAAGGTGAATTGTCCCTTCCTGTTTGGCAGTGAGGACAGATGTATTTATCCCTTGGGTGGATGGGGTTTCACGTGTTTTACCCCTGGGCTGAGTTAAATAGGATTGGTTGAGGGGCCATTCTTTTGGTTTAGCCTGTCCCCCTCCGTTCCCTATACCCAGGGGTTAGAGCATGTCTCTGATGGACATTCCCGTCAGCACCTTGGAGGACCCGAGGGTCAATCTCCTCAGTATTGGGCTTTGTCCTTGAACTCTGCCGGGACACGTCCATACCATGTACCACAGAATGAGGGTTAGGCATGGGTGCCTTGGCAAGACGGTCAGATACCGGATCTTTAGGGCCACTGGCTTCCAGATTGGCAAGAACATCAGAAAAAACTTCCATTTCACTGTTAAATCTTGAGAGGCCGCCTGCCACTGGTCATAGAGAGCACTATGACTTTGTGGAGTAAGCCCTCTACGCCTGGCCTGCAAGTTGGTTTCCGCATATTCCAACTGTCTTAAGTTGGACTCAATAGCCTCAGCGTCAGTACTGGTGACTGGTTTCTGGAACCTTTGATCAGTATCGGACAATCTACCTGGTGTACCTTCGGTGACAGGAGTAAACTGTCCAAAGACTGATTTAGATTTGGATGTGGATGGTGCAGCTTGCCCTGAAGCCTGTTGCTCCACCATCCTCGGAGACCAAGTGCCTGCAGTTGAAATACCAGGATATTCCACCGCGAAGGAGATGGCGCTAAGAGCCTGCTCAGGGTTCCTGATAGAGGGGAGATCACGGAAATCCTCCTCCGTCAGTACACCGAGGGTCTCTCTGAGTTCCACAATTTTCCGGGCCAGTTTCATCCCTATTCCTGATTTCCTCCTCAGAGCACAGATTAATAAATACTGGTGGCATGATTGGATTATCTGAAATAATCCAACAACCATACTTAATATATGATAAGTTAGTACAAGTTATAAATAACCCCATTTTTGGAACGAATACAGTTGGGAAAGGAACATAAGTGTTCGAGCCTTCCCTGCAGTATTCTTGCTCTTTTACTACTACCTGAGGTAAGACCAAGCTGACCTATAGGTACTTATATGGTAGCTGTATAACCTTAAACTAACCTAGCTAAAGAGTTTCCAATATTATGGATTAGACAAACTCTCTATATATGTGGCACCCATGAAAGGCCACCTCCTCGTGGTGGGTGCTGGGTCACGCTAAGCGCCTTTCAACCCCCCGTTGTGGACCCGGGGGGGATATTTTGGTCCACCAACCTGTTGGCCGTGGGTTGCGCCCCTGTGTCGGTGGAGGAAGGTAGTCTGGTGGTTGAGGGCACTGGGAGCCTAGAACCGTGTTCCTTTTGCCCAACACACTTCGGCCCTAACTTCACCTAGACGGGTGGTAGAACTGGCCAGTTCTATCAATCGGCTGGTCACGCCAAGCCCTGTGCATGGTTATTTTATTTGCACGTTGTTATTATTGGGCCTTGGACATTTTGATTTTCAATGTACAAAATTATTTTATATGAAATTGCCTAGAGTCCTATGCCAGAAAGGCGGTGGCTCATGGGCCAATCTGGTGATGTTGACCTCTGAATAATGTATATCTTCAATTTCTTGTTCACTTTCCTGAACCAGTTTGGCATTGAATTGGTAGACAAATACAGCTGTTCACGTCATATTCTCTGGAATTATAACACCCCCTGTATCCCTGGTGTCAGCATCTTGGAGATCCGGTGCATATTGACATCGTCCTTGTAGACCTCCGTGGTGGGTGGGGAGCAGGGGTGCTGAAACAAATTCCTTTCACCATGTCTCAACAACTACCTGGTTCATCTAGAAATGAAAAGAAGAGGCGTTATGAAACTGTGGACGAATCTTCAAGAACTATTTCCCCAATGATGAGTCCTGGTCTCGTTTCCTTGTTATCGAGGGCTGTTGACTTTCTCCCGATAAAATTAAATCCTTTTTGCCATTTCTAAGGCTGTATCCGGCATTTGTGGTGAAGTTAAGAACGTCACTCGTCTCCGTAGTGGTTCACTTCTGATCGAATATTGCACGGAAGCAGCAATCTCTCAATTTGTTATCTATCAAAACATTTGCCAATATTGACGTTGCTGTGTCCGTGCACAGAACATTGAATTCCTGCCGTGGCATCATCCATTGACAGGGCGCGTTGTCTGTCAGACATGTCAGAAGAAGGACATTGCAGCCGAGCTTCATGATCAGGCTGCCGAGCAGCTGTAAAACGTTTCACTGTCCAGAAGAAGGCATCATAGTGAAAACAAACACATATCTTTTGGCGTTCTTTCTCGATCATCCTTACCTCAATCCATTAAAAGCAGGATACTTTAATATCCGAGAGTGGACGATGTATATCCCCAGTCCGCTCCGGTGTTATAAAGATGCCAGAAGTTTGGTCATGGGTCAAGCTCTTGTCATTGGCTCTGTGATATGTCATCGATGTGGTGAGAGCCACGACAGCACAGGCTAATGACAAAAGGAGTTTAAATGTGCTAACTGTCATGGCCCACATGGCGCTTCCTCAAAATCATGCCCTGTGTGGCAAAAGAGACCTCAATAATGAGATTGAAATGCAAGAAAAACATTTCTTACCTTGATGCCAAGAAACTTTTCCAAAATCAGAGCTCAGCTCCGTTGAATATTTCATATTCTGCAGCAGTCACTCGCTCTGTGGCAACGTCTCTGTTGCATGTCAGACAGACTTGACATGGGTCAAGTCTGGACAACTAATCTTCAACCTCAGTAATAAAACCTACTACTCCAGTCACTCAGGCTACGTCTGCCTCTCAGACTGAGAAACAGCCTGAGATACAATCTAAAACTGTGAAGCAAACAGCCAATGGCCTCAGGCAATACATCAAAAAGGAAAGGGAAAAAAATTAAACAGAAAGAGACACCTTCCGTCCCTTCACCTTCAGAACTTCCTCTAGAGAACCCCTTTGGACCTCTTGACATGGAGGTCACACTGTCCCTCACAGGACAAGCGGAGAGGAATCCTCCTCCAATTCACGAGAGTGAGATCTCCAATTGAGCCACCATAATGACTCAATTGTCTAATATAATTCAGTGGAATTGCAGAGGACTGAAGAATAACTTCAATGAAATACAATTACTCATTCAAGATCTTCAACCATCAGCATTATGTCTTCCAAGAGACATACCTTAAAAGCACTGATACCTTCCAATTTAAGACGGTTTTGGTGACTATCCACTCCTTCTACCCTCCAGGCGATAAAGCTACTGGAGGTGCCTCCATTTTAATGGTACACCAGAGTGTCATTCATAGTCCTGTCACTTTACATACGGATCTTCAAACTGTTGCTGTGCGTCTCACTGCACATTGCTCTGACATTGTGCGCAGCTTGTATACCTCCTTCTTCAAATATTCAACAATCCGATCTTCAAAATCTGTTTGATCAACTTCCCGAAGCCATGTCTCATCATGGGCGATCTGAACAGTCACAACCCGCTTTGGGAAGTGACCATATTAATACTAAAGGTAAAATCCTTGGAATTTATTTCCGATAATCACCTGTGTATATATAGCGATGGTTCTCCACTTATCTACATCCAGCTACGGGAACATATTCTTCCCTGGATCATCTGTCAATTAGCAAACTCGAGCTCCAATAATGAATTTCAATGGGTGGTCCATGATGACCTATGTGGGAGTGATCACTTCCACCATTCTCAAAACAGTCAACCCTGGTGATGATCCACCTTTATCGAGAAGAAACTTTGCCAGGGCTGACTGGTC